CAGTAGCACTGGTTTATATGACATAAGATTTTTTTTAAAAAGTGCACAGATACCATGCTCTGTTCTTTTATTTATTCATCTCTCGATAGTGGTAGTATGTGACATAACATTGGTTTAATGTGGATGACCTATGCATATAGGCCTAGGACAAAAATTTCATGTTGGCATTGGTATCTACAAACTCTCCCTGTTTAGTGCAAAGAGAGAAGTGCTGTCACAGGTTTTGGAATCCCCAAGATTAGACATTACAAAACTATGAACTGTTCAAGAGCAGAAACATAGTAATGGTAAGGGGAACAGATACTACATATTGATCCATTTTTATTCACTCCCCACCCAACCCCATTATGGCAGGATGTGACATAAGGTTTAGTTTAACATAGGGTACCCAGACATATACATATGTGCTAAGGACAAAAATTGTCAATCCCAGTCACTGCTGTCATACTGGTATTGATATTAATAAAGTATAGGTGGTAGCTCTTGGAACTGCAACACCTTCCTGTTTTTTAATCATTTCACCTCAAGCAAGGTGATAAAGCCACTAAGATGCAAGAGGTTGCTGAGAGGGAAAGAAAATGGGAAAATATTATTGAGGAGAAATAACAATAAAGGAATGGGATTCAAAAAGACAGAACATGATGCATTGCATTTAATTTTTTTGAGGATCATAGTTGACAGGAAAACAAGAAGCTGGAAGAGAGTTCCACAGATAAGAAGTGCAAGAGTAGGAACTATTATAATTACAGTTACATTTTCACAACAGTAGAGTTGCTAAAATGGGATACAACTATCAAATTGGTCTATATTTGAAACCTCAGTGCTACTAAATTTTGAAATGATAATTTTAAGGATAGCCAAAGTTAACTAAACTTATTTTAAAATAGCTCCCAAAATTGTAAGTAGCAGAATTCAGAATTTAATAGACCTGGGCTTCCAAAATTATCTATCCCAGTCTGGCAAGCCTGACTAGTAATATCTGATTGCTTTCACTAGGGATCAAGTGACAACTCTTCTCTTTTTGGTACTTTTATTGATTCTAGTATTTTTCTGAGTGATTTCAATTCTTACATTTATAACTCTTCCCTCTATTTCTTTGCAAGGCTCTTTGGAATTGTTCCAAGTGCATGAAGGATCATAGGTACAACTGTCACTTTCATGTTCCACAAGTTTCTCAGTTTTCTTGATATTTGTCCAGTTTTTCACTTTCTTATTGAATGAAATGGCAAAGTTTAATGTGTGTACTCATAAAAAATGGAGTGTTGTCGGGACATTATTATTATAAATAAATAAAAATAAAATAATAATAATAATAATAATAATAATAATGAAAATTAAAAATAAAATAAAACAATAACATTAAAATGTATAAAATAAATTAAATAAAAATTTAAGATAATAAAAATACTCCCAAGATGCAACAAAAACTGTTATGGACATCCCAAGAAAAGAAGTTAAATTCAATCTCTTCACCATGAACCTTTGTATGGGCAACACATGTCCAACTTCTGTCGGTGATATGGTGCATAATACTACAAAGTAACTTCTCCCTTTATCTTATGTACCATAAAATAATTATAACCTAAACAATACACACACCAATACACACAAGAAAAATATAAATATGAAATTAACATACTATTTACCATGCTTTCCCGTTATTTGTGTACATTTTATTTCCTGTTAAATATGCTTTTATCTCTGTGAACACAATATTGCTTCCATATCTGGTCTGGTGATTTTGCTATATATTTTTAGAGATTCTAGATAAAATACAAAGAAGAATCTGAAATGTTATTGGTCCTGACCTGGCATCTCAGCTTCAGTCACTTTCCCATTGAAATAGTATAGCTTCCCTGTTTCTTTTCTAGAAATACTTTCATGATAATTGTTTTGATGAACATTTCTCTATGGTACATTCAGGTTTCATTTTTAAAAGTTGTTATTTTATCCCCCCACACCATCAGACAAATTGTTTATATGGGGACTAGTTAGGACTTCACAGAAACTCTAAGGTATTGTGGTGGCTGTTGTAAGATTGGTAAGTAAGAATATGTTGTTTTGGTGTAAAGAATACTGTGATATGTTTGGGTCAGTAATTGTGGCTAGATAAGTTTAATTATAAGACTGGCCTTCCCCATCCCCACTTTTTGTTCTTGTGCTACATTTTTGTATTTTACAAAATAATTATTACTTCCCTCTATGGTACCTTGGCTTTATGAATTTAATTAGAGTGCTAGATTGGTGGTAACCATAAATTCTATGTTAACAGTTTCTTCTCCCACACTTCTGGCATGTGGAAGTCTCTTCCGGTTTCTTACTTTCAACTTTGATCTTCAAAAATTTAAATGTAATGCCAGTCATTATCTTCTGTCTTCTTAATCCCTCTGTTTTTATTGTTCTCTCTCATTAATAATGGTTTTTTTTTTTCTCATATTCTCAAACATTCAGTAACCCCATGTGTCTTAGTGGCTTTATTGCATTGCTTGGGATAAAATTATTTAAAAAAACAAAACATAAATTCACTAAAATAGTTTGTGAACATCTGGATTTATACATTTTTTACTCAAGAATTGAAAGCAAAAATCTTATTAGTATATTTTTGATAATAGTTTAATTAAATTAGTATTATGCAGTGACCATTAGTGGAAATTAAATGATAGCAAGTTGTCTCATCCCTACAATCCTTTTTTTCTCTTTTAACCAATTTCAACAGCACTGTGTGGGAATAATTTCAATTCTTTCTTAAATATTTATTTTTTCTAGTCTTTTTGCAAGTTTATTTGGAGTTGTTTCTTTTATAGTGGTGTGGGGTTAAAATGAACAGTTCATTTACCCACACCAAAAAGATTAATTGAAAATGATAATGATGAGGAAACACCAGGGTAATTTTAACAAAACAACATAAAGAATTTATTTACAAATTTACATGCTTGAAGTTGTGTCAGTAGCTTATTTCATAAAAATAAACCAGAAATTTTTAAAGTTCGTAGTTTCAACAAACTGCCATGAAGAGGAAATGTTCATACAACAGATTAAATGATCTGATATAAAATAATATTAAAAAATGTTTAAAACAAAGGTAAGAGGGTTTGTTGCTCACAGAAGGGATATACAGTTGCCTACATTCAAAAGAAGACAAAGAGAGATAGTTTGAAATACTTAGCTTTCTTAGATTGTTGAAAGAAAATTCTTTGAAGTGCAACATGCTTGGTTAAAGGCTGATAATATAATTAGTGGCTAATTTTACACTTGCAAAGACTTGAACATCTGCTCCATGAGGAACTGAAACAAAACATTTCAGACACTCTTCTACCATTAATTTAATTTTTCTCCTCATTTTATATCAAAATGAATTTCACATAGGCTTGCTACTTTCTTTCCTTCAGGGTCAACAGCTAATTTCTGTGGAGACAATGTTTTCATTGGCCCAAAGAAAATTTCACATATGCTTGCAAATTCATTTCCATTTTTTCCTCAGTTCTCCAAATTTGAAGGGAGTAGGTAAAAGAAGTTATTATTCTGTACTCACTACACTTTCATCTTTCATCATATTCCATAATTTTTGCATTTCTTGGATAATGGCTTCATATTTATCTAATTTCCCTCTTACAGTTCCAGAATTGCTACACCCATTATCAAGTGCATTTCCTTATCCTTTTCTCTAACAGGAGAGTGGTCTGTTTCAATTTTAAAGTCCCAAAGTATATATATTTTTTTGATTCTCTTGTTGGATTGTCTTCTTCCATGTTTTTATGATGAGGTGGAGCAAGAAGAAGGGTTTAATTAATTTTGACCATAAAAAAATATTTTTCATTTTTTTTCCTATAAAAATATTTGATTATTTACATGCAAATTATTGTCCTTATCTCTGTTGTTGTTGTTATCACAACACTTTGGCTGTTGTGCTATCTTGCCTTCATCAGGTGTTTGTTGGTCTGGATAACCTACAGGAAATTCCAAACTGAACTCTTTATTTCATCTAGACTGTTCTCATTCCACTGCCCATGCTCAGGGATATCTTGTCTAGTTCCCATTTTTAGTAAAGTTCAGTTATTGCTCACCCTGTTTCCACTGAGTCCAAGTACACACTCTGCCTGACCCAGGGATTGAACTCACAATAAATATCTCATCAAATTCACAAGCCAACATGTTAATCCACTAACCTATTGTTCTGTGTGAACTGTAAGAACTAGACAAGATATTCCTGAAACGTGAAAACAAGAACAAAGATGAATACAATACTGATGTAAATAGTCCAAATAAATAATGATAACTCCTCATCCTAGAAATTCAGACAGAAAAAAAACACTTTGCTTTATTTTTAATGAACAAAAGATTTTTTAAAAAGCATTTTATTTTTTCAATGTTCTAAAGAAAAGTAATTGCAAATTTTAGTTATTTTTATTTTATTTATTTATTTTTGACTTGTAAGATTATTTTTTCATTATGCATTCTTTAATTTTTTACACTGCTTTAATTTTCTTTATATATACAAGTGAGTGCAGATAAAGAAGGGATTTTAAAAAAAGTCTGATTTTTGATCATGTAGTCAGAATTTGGGAAGTGGGTCCAGCTGAGAACTTATCTGGACATCTTTCTCCTGGCTGCAGAAAAAGCAATAATCAAGTAGCATCTCGCGTAACCATGGGAACCAGAAAAGTCTCGGAACAACGTTGTCTCGCGAGATGTTGTCATTGGAAAGCGATGAGGCGAGTAGTGTCGTCAGGTACCGCCATAGAGTATTTATTTGACGGCAACGTTAATAGCAGAATGAAAGAAAATTCTCAAAGGTTATCATTAAACTTAAAGCCTTTGTTGTTTACTAGTGTTCATATATCCATTTCCACCCGCCGTAACTATAACTGCAATATCCATTATTGAGTACCGACCCGTCTGGTTGGTTGTTAGAACGAAACTTGTTCTTTTGCTAACAACTGCTCATCTGCAGTTCTTGTTTAGTGCGCTCTTTTTCTCTCTTTTAGAAAATAATTTACTTTATGGCATCCCAGAATTTGTGGCGAGGGGTACGGACAGCGGTTGCTGTCTTATTCACCGCTGGACTGTCGGTAGCAGCACTGTATACTTGGTTCATCCATAAGCAGAGATCGAAAGATAAAACTAGTAAAAGAGCATTATCAGAAATAGATGAGAATGGAAAGGAGGACGATGATGAGCAAGAAGAAGAATCAACAAAAGAAGACCCAAAACAAGAGAGGAATAATAAAATTGATGTAGTTAAGGCATCTGGCGATAATGGAGAAAAAAAAGTTAAAGGAAAACCAACAGTCCCAACAGAATTACCACAATTGGAAATCGCAACAAAAATTCTAGATAATAACGAAGCTTCGCAACCTGAAAAAAAGTCTCCGGATATAAAAGTAAGTAATGTTGTTATATGAATAATGTTTTTAATTAAATGATGGTAAAATAGTGTTTCTGAGTGTGTGGATAATTTTTTTTAATTTTTTAATTGTGTTGTCATTTTCTTCATAATTTATTTGTGGTGGGGGTGACAAAAAGTTTTTTTTTTTTTTTTGTTAAAGAACTGATAAGAAGCGTTATTGTGAAGAATTCAAATTGACTACTTTTTAAAACAATTGTAGAAAAATGAAATAAATGAAAAAAATCGCTCTCTTTTCTGAAAAAAAAAAGTAAAAAAAAATAAGCATTTGCTGCCAGAAAATGTTTTTCCTTTCACACTTTTTCTGAAAGATTTAAAAATAAAATTGTTGTCGAGTGTCGAAACACCTGAAATAAATATTATTGACCCTAAAATAAACAGATGTAAATGGAAACCATAACTGCAAACTGCAAAAGAAATGTAATAAAATAAATTACTTTTTCTAATCTGTCAAGAGTTCATTTTTAAAATTGTTTGCTGAAGGGTTTTAGAGATTTTGAAGTCTTTTTACTTTTGTGTTGTGACTTGCAAGATAATTTTTTTTTAAATTAGAAATGGCGAATATAATATTAGTGTTCTTATTTTTAATGAAAACAAATCTTCCTGGTTCTAGACATGCCAATAGTTCCTACTCGTATGTTTCAAAACAAGATAAAATCAATATTTTTTTATGTGCTTTTTTAACCCTTTCTAGTAGACTTGAACAAAATGCAAAAAAATAAATAAATAATGGATTGGAATCAGAATTGATTGCTATTTTTTTTTTTTTTTTTTTTTTTTTACAAGTTATTTGTAGAATTTTCAAGAAATGTAAATAAAACTAAAACAAAATTCAAAACTTAGATTAGGGCTTGTGCAAAATTAATCACAGTTCTAATTTTTTTTCTATTTTATTTAATTTTTGCCACTGAAGAAAGTCCTTTTTTAGTCTTATTCTTTGAAAAAGGGGTAAAAAAATTTTCTCTAATTTCTCTTTGTTTAATTAAAAAAAAAAGCCTTAAAAACGGAAACAGTAAAAAAAAAACTCAACCCCTATTATTCAGACAAAGCACAACTTTAAATTTTTTTAACAAATTAAAAGCAAAAAAACTAAGACATTTTTACTTCCTACTTTCTTTTTCCTCTAATGGCCTTCTTATTACTTTTATTTCTATTTACTGTTTTATTGGTAAATTTGTTTTAGAATTTTTTTCTAAAATCCTAAGGCTACAACTCAATAAATATGTGATTGAAATTACCTGCACTTAATTACCCGCCCCTGCAAAAAACGTTGATCATCCTGCTCAAAATCCTGGATTCACACCTGTAAAAATTAAAAATAATTTTTTTACACATACAAATTGTCTTTTGTGTTGCAGTGTCAACTCTTGTAGTTTGTGTCAATCATTTTGGTTGGAGTATCTTTGTTTAGTACTTTCCATTGTTGTGTAGCTGTTCAGTTATCAACATCTTTAATCAGAACTTCAGTCCAAACAGGTAGCACATGTTCTGAACGGGTAGTATGCATTTTTTACATTATAGTCACCCAAATTCCCCTCATGATCTATAACTTTGAAAGATTATCAACAAAAATTATATTCTTTAACGAACGTCATTTTTTAAAGAGTTTATTTTTTACTTTTATTAATGACTTAAACAATTGTAAAATAAAAGATTTCTGTAGAACTGTAGTTAGAGTATTTTGTGTTTTATGTAAATTTTTGTAAAAAAATATTTCAGTTAGCCAGCGGTATCCATTTCAAACCGCATTTAGATGGATTCTTTTGATAAATAAATAGTAAATAAATACTATTAAAGTACTACTACAACTACATACTTCTCACTTGACTAAAGTTGTGAAACTCATAAAAATAGCAAGTCTTAGAGATATTCTGAAAATTAGATCCAAACCAAATCACAAATAATGTTCAGCCAAAAATAAACAAAAAAGTATCTCCCTGCCTCTAATATTTTTTACAGTGCTTTTATTTAAATGTAGATTTCATGATTAAATAGACAGAATGGGTACAGTAAACTAAATAGTTCACAATTTCTTTTGAGAATCTTTTGTTTAAATAAATGAGGAATAGTTGGTTTAAGAAAAAGATTTTTAAAAATATTGCTTCAAATGAGCTTTGAAAATAGCAATTCAGATATTGAGATTAATTTAAACTTCAACAAAAAACAGTTCTGAGTACAAAAAATGGCTCTTAAATAGCTCATTTATTTTAAAATTTAACATGTCAATTTAAAAAAAATATAAATCACTTTATCACCTTTATCTAAATTTAGTCAGTTGTATATTTTGAATGTATAGAAGTAAATCATTGAAATAATCACATTTAAATGAAGTAATTTAACTCCTATTTTTTTGTTTCTTTTTAATTTGGAAGAGTGTCACTACCCAGTATGTTTTAATATCTAAAATAATGTTTCTATTAGATAATCCAAAAAATTGGTAAAATATCAATGTCAGATTCTGTTTTTAACATAATAGTGTCTTAAATTTCTTAGACAAGTTAATTGAATATCTGTGTGAGCTTTCATATTGTTTGTGCATTTCAAACATTTATAAAATTAGTATTCAGCTCAGATGAACATAATGGATTACTTTTTTATATTTATTCTACTTAGGTGTTTGTTTGATTTATTCAGTAAACTTAGTTTGGCACAAGGTCATAAGAGTGAGATGTCTAGTAAGAATCAACCTCATTTCGGTGAGTGCAGCTTTGTAAGCTTTATTTCTATGACAGGCATCCTTGTATGGTATATCTGTTTAATAAATCATTTTGGTTTTCATAAAAATCTGAATCCTAACCTCATCTTTTTATTTACACAGATATAAGTTTGTTTTTATCATTTCGCTCCAAGCAAGGTGATAATGCCATTAAGATGCAAGAGGTTACTAGGAGTGAAAGAGTGAGGAGAAAGAACAATAAAAGAATTCAGGAAAACAGAAGATTGCATTTAATGTTGCATTTAAATCTTTGAAGATTGTAGGTGGCAGGAAAGCAAGAAACTAAAAAAGTTCCACAGGCAAGAAAAGAAACTATTAGAATAGAACTTACGGTTACATCTAGTTTGTTCAACAGCGAGACCTAGTTGCCAATCTAGTAGTACACTTAAATTCATGTAGTTGAGGCACCAAGAAAGTATAGTGAATTAACATATATATATATATATATATATATATACTTCAATACACTCACACATTGGTCAGAACATAGACATAGCAGCAGGATTAGCGGTCTGCCACACCATATATGTGTGAGAGTTCCAAATTGGTTGCTGGATCGTCCATTCACGACCCGTCTCTCTGCTGCCTCAGTGGGAGATATAGGGCTCTTTGTCTCTTTTTGCTTCCAACAAATGAACATACAACATTCACCCATCAGTTCCTTCTTTTTGGTACTACATGCAGGACTTATAAAAGCAGAACTTTCATTGTTTTATGCTTAAGAACACATTCACAAAAAAGGTAAAAGCTTTGTATGCTATGTATTGTGTCTTCAGTATAATAAATATCATGTTTGATATATGTTTGGACTAGTCTCATTCTTTTTCCCATAATGAAGCATTATAGAGTAAAGCTCATCTGAACAATTGCCATGAAAATATTTCTAGAAAAGACAGAACCCACATCACAGCTGTAGGAAAGTAACTGAATTAAAGATGTCAAGACCAATTTCATTACAAACCCTTCTTTGGATTTTGCCAAGACACTTGAAATATATATATATATCACAAGCACCAGACTAGATATGGCAGCAATATTCAATGCATAGACGAATATTAGATTTATAAATGTGCAAGATGGATTCTGACCAGAAAAATTTTATGGCATAACAGTGAACCAAATTTCCTAGTAATAACCTGGAAATTGATTCAATATAATCACTCCATTTCATGTCAGTGGCAAGGCAAAGAAGTTGCAGAGTATTGTGCTCCTGGAGGTTAGCATAAGCCATGTTAATTGAATGCAGAAAAAGTTCACTATGATGATTAAATGATATCAGTTTTGTTTTGGAGATGTTAGAATTTACAAGCCATTCCTTGCCCCAGTTAACCACTATTTGAAGATCATTTTTGAGAGCAGGTGACAATTTTACTTTGTTGAACTTATCAGATTTGCTACTAAGTAGTAAATTGTTGTCATCAGTATAAATACCTAGTTTGGGACTGATGAAGGTTGTTGATAAAGGTAAGAAACAACATGGGTTCAACAATATAGTCCCCCTGCGATACCCCCACATTTCCCTATAAAAATTCTCATGGACCATTCTACCATTTGTACTTGCTTTGAATATTGCTGCCACATCTGGTTTGGTGCTCCAGCTATATATATATATTTAGACTTTCTTGATAAAATTAAGAATCTGCAATATTATTGGTCCTGACCTGACATCTTCTTTCCCACCACCATAATGTAGCTTGCTTGTGCCTTTTCTATAAATTGTTCAAATGAACTTTCCTCTATGGTACCTAGACTTTATGAATTTAAGCACATTAGTAGATTGGCAGCAAGTTCTCATCATTTTACAGTTGAAAGGGCTAGACTTAACTGTAAGTTCTATGCTAACAGATTCTTCTACTGAACTCCTCACTTGTGGAACTCCTTGATTCTTAGTTAGCTTTGATCTTCAAAAATTTCAATACAATGTCAATTGTTATCCTCTCTTAATTCTTATTCTTTTATTGTCCTCTTTCTATTTGTAACTCCACATTTAACAATAAACATCTTTACAAATTTTTTAATTTAATTACAAGTGGTTACTTAGTCGTGCAGGGAATTTGCAGCAATACCTTTGTCAGAGACATTGCTACACATTTTTCAGTTAACTCTGATTATCTTATATAAATAATATTATAATTTAATTTTAATAATAGGCTTTTAACCAAGAAACAGTCTGAAGTAAGTGTGTTCTTTTTGCTTGTTACTCCTTAGACTTCTATTAATATTAGGATATTGGGTTATCAACTGAGAAAGAAATCCAGGCTGTTAGCAAACTAATAATATTTAGATGAATCAAAATAATGAATGATCTATATGAAATTAACTTTCAGATAAAAATTATGTTGTGATATGCTATCAGATTATTTTTATTTATATATATATATATATATATATATATATATATATATAATAAATAAGCATTAATTTGAACTGGTGTCATCATCTTGGTTGCAGTCTATAATTAAGATGTGGGTACCAGTTTGAATAAATCAACATATAATGATTATTAGTTATCACAAATTCAAACAGAAATTATTGTATTGTAAATTGTTAAATTATAGTTTGATAAAAGTTTATCTGCAACAATCAGTTATTTTAATTTATCTGTAAATGTTGCTTAAAAGTTGTTTAAGATGGTACATAATAAAAACAGATCTCTTCATTAGCTTGATTTTTGTTCAGTTTTCCTGCTATTTTGTTTTGGATAATATTTGTTGCTGTGAAAACCTGTTTGTTTCAAAATAGAATTGCTTATTTCATATTTAATATAGCAGCAAATCAATTTTGATAGAACTCTTGTTGCATTCATCAAGACTATGCTCATCACTTACCTATGAAGTTTTGCAAAATGTTATCGAACAGGATAGTCTCTTCCTCACTCATGAAGAATGCAATGTCCTTGACATATATGCCAAAGTTGATACTTTCAATTCCATAACACTTACGAGTTTTATCTTTTAACCATCAACACATCCACTTCCCCACCTCTTCATAACTGACAAACTCCTAATGAAACAGGAAAATCTCAAATCCTTCAAAGCTATCTGCAGTGTTCCATAAATCTGAACACAATTATAAATAACTTGGAAAGAAGATTGGCACTGATATCTTTCCTCTCCATTACATTTCCTGAACAATCTGCCAAAATGTCACTTCATTCTTGACACCATACTTCTTTCCTTGATCTCTGTCCACAATTATCTTTCCATATTGAAGTCGGTAATCTCTTGTCATATGATTAGTTTCATGACACCTGCAAGCATATAAATTCAGCATTTTCTTGGTCTTTGTATACCAGTTGTGTTGCTGTTGCGACATGAAATATCTCCGTCTTGAGCCAACTGTTGGTTGCCATTTATAGAATTTGTTCATGAAGAGACACAAAGCTTTCATATTTTCAGTAGCTTAGTCACAACTACATGGGCCAAAACATATTCAGATACTCTAACATCAAACAACACTCCTGATCTCATAGTTATGCCAGAAACACATTCACAGATTCACTAGCTGTCTATGAATTTTCTCATAGGCTACAAGCAAATTAACTTCAGATGTGTACACTGATTCTTTTATCATGGCAATGGCTTTCTTCTTTGTCTCATTTACCTGTTAGTATACAGCAAATACTCCAGCAGATAGACTCCCTCAATTTTATGACATAGATTATGTAACAGCTCAATCTTTTCTGTTCATTTAACTGTCTTTCTGTTAGAGATGTTGAATTTGGATATCCATTTTGAATGAATGCATTTTTCTCAAGTTACCAAAATCTATTGTAGCAAAGCCAATTCAAGAAAAGCTGCTTTTTTTCCCTTTATATTTGACAAAAAACTCAGAATAAAAACCCACAAAAGTTCAAAATAATCAAAGCCACCACTGAGCAAAAAACAAAAATGGTTTAACATTGATAAATAGTCCAGTTACTACTTCCAATGAACAAAGCACAAACAAAAAGGCTTTTAGACTGTTTACCTCAGGGTGTATGCCAAGAGGAACCATCTTGAAATGCCTTATCACTTGGCAGGTGTCACAGTGTTACCAATGTTTTAGTAACTGAGCAGAAATCCAATTAGTAAACTAATTATGACCTATTGGCTGTTTAAAATCCTTATCTCACAGGATATGCTTGCATAATGAAAACAGTTTTATTTACTTCCAAAAGGAATCAGTTTACTTAACTCAAATTAAATTTGGGCCTTCAATGAAAAACATGATATTTAAATAGATCATCATTATAATCATCACTTTGACTTTTTAATCCATGATATCACAGTTAAGAGTTAAACACAGATTTGAATAGTGAGAGATAAAATTCTGGCAGAAGTCAAAAGGAAAAATCAAACTATAACTACAGTTATAGTTTAATGCCAACTGCATTTGAACCTACTTATCACTATCTTAATGACTACTTCATTTGGTTAGTTTTACTTATTTTTTGAATTAACAAAATAAATTTATCTATCTGTGAATTGCTATGACTTCTTAAGATAGGTGAGTGATTTCTTATTGCTATATTAAGTTTTGCATTCAGAATGATCTTTCTCTTAACTGGCTGACATCCAAGGCTAGAGGGCCCAGTTTACTCTAGTTAACCTGTAGCTGAGTGATAAAGGGAGAATAGATAGGTTAATGCCTTTCCTAAGTGAACAAAAGTGAATGTAACAGACTAAGCTAGAATTTGTACTTTGCTTACCATTTCCATTTTCTGTACCAATAACCATTGTTACCCACACATTCAGTGCCAAAATACCAGTTCTTAAAATGGTTTTTATCTTTTTCTCTCAACTTTGATAGAAAAAATGGATATTAGATTTTGATCAATAGGTAGTTAAAAAAAAAAAAATTATCTAATTTTAATGGGAGAATATGATATATAAATTCTATATATCAGACTAATAGTTGGTAATTGAATGACAAAATAGAAAAAATCCAATGTAACATGGTTCGTCCTTCAAAAAAGTCTTCTTCAGAATAAATCTTCAGAATGCTTCTGTTGATGGACTCGTGTGTAGGTGGAGTGAATGAAAATATAAGCAAACATAAGTTATAATTAAACACCTATAGAAACGATGAAGATGCAGGGGTGCTTAACTTGATTTGTCCAATGTCTCTAGATATTGTACTACAGCCTCCTACTACCTTAATTTTTGTTTTTATTGCCATCATTGTTTAAATGTCCCACATTGTAATAGAAGTTGAGCAACATTGAGGCTGGTTAGTACCTAGATTGCTTGAGAACATCAGTTGCTGTAAGCTTGGATGTGCAAGTGTTGTAATAGATAATGGCTGGCAATTAGAAATCGGAGAGCAGAGTTCCAATTCCAGTCAGGTTCATTATATTCACTTGCATTCAAATACCCTGGGGGAAAAGTATGAATCCACCTCTTCTCTCCCAAATATGGGTTAATTAGGACTTGTATTTTTATTGTATAAAATCAATATTATCTCCAAAGAATTCTTACAATCCAAAAATAATTTCTGTAAGAAAAAAAAACCCTCTGTCAATAAGTTTTACTCCTGTATTTCTTGTAGGTATTTTAATATGTGTCTAGTTTTATAAAGATTATATTATTTACTTTTCTAGTTTCATAAATCTGATGTTAAATGTTGATCCAACAGGATAAAATTAGGTTTCTTGGGTGCTATTTTAATGTAGATGACCTGAACAGGCCAGAAAGCTGACTTGATTGTAACAGATTGACCATTAGACATGTTATTACAGGTTGATGCAATCCATTTCTTTTCCATAATCAAAGCCAGTGCTGCCTGGTAATGTTTATGATGAATATTAATGAGGCCTTATCTGGCCAACATTGAATTATGCAAAGAGTTTATTAATTTTTTTAACTTTAAGAAGAGTCATTAAGTTATTCAACATAAATTTTTTTTTCAGATTTGTGTGCCCAAATGATGTTGAAAAAGTATTCAATCACTGGAGCAGGTAAAAGCTCAGTGGTTAGATCATACGACTAAAACCTGAAAAGGCAGTATATTGCTCTCCCCCCGCTCCAATGCTTGAATTGGTTCACTTGAAACCACAGAAAAGGGCCTAACTACTACTTACTATCTACTTTGTTTAAACTCCAGAATCTAAAAGTGTCCCATTAATAAATATTACTATTTTAATTTGTACATTTAGCTTTTATGCTTGCTTATGGTCATATTGATACTGAAAATGTCACTAGCATGGCTATTCATTTAGAAAAATCTCTTGACAAACAAAACTTGAGCTTATGGATAAAATAGGAATTATAATCATTTCATGAATATCAGTGATTTGCTTTATTTTACTATCAATCTGTACTAATTCTATATTCATACTTTTTGTTTGGTACATAATAATCAGTAATCTTTCATTGAAGTGATATAAATATGTTTATTGGAAGTATAAATTTAACTTAAGTATATCAAATATAATGAAAACAGTTTTATTTACTTCCAAAAGGAATCAGTTTACTTAACTCAAATTAAATTTGGGCCTTCAATGAAAAACATGATATTTAAATAGATCATCATTATAATCATCACTTTGACTTTTTAATCCATAATCATCACTTTGACTTTTTAATATTATGGCTGCAAATAACAAAACTGAATACCCATTTTTATACCTCACATATACAAATATCAAACACATTGTTTTATTGTTTGTTTGTTTTTCCTATGCAAGAATTTATTTTTTATAACTTTTGTATTTATTTATTGTGGACTTTTTGAGGAGTTATTTCCACTGTCAAGAGCAGTTACAATTTATTATCCACACTCATTTCCTAACTTATTCTTAAATTTGCTGAATTCCAGGTTTTAACTTAGTTAAACTATAAAAGCCAATGTTTATTATTTGCTACCTAAAAAATATTTTCTCTTTGCAGAGTTTACGAATTGACAGCACTGACAAAAAGCGTGTCCTTGTTCTTGGCCTTGACAAAGCAGGTAAAAGTACATTTGTCTCAGCTTTGTGTGGTAGACAAGTTCAGGTTGATTATGCTCCAACTCAAGGGTTTGCTGTTGTTACAACCACCATTGGCAATAAGGCTTTGAATTTTTGGGAAGGTAAGTGCTATTTTTCTTAAAAGATCAAGGAAAAGGCTGAAGAATCTAATATGTCTGATATTTGATTAAATTGCACGTTTCATTGGAATCTGAAAAGGGCATTTCCAGTAAACAAGCTTGCTTTCTATCTACTCTTATCCTTTATATTGATCTTGTACTGGATATGATGTCAGTTACATGTCGACTATTTTCTAATTATTAGTGGTTGGACAGGCCCTTTTTTTCTCCCCGCTCAAAATCAGTGGAAAAAATTGTAAGCTCTATGGTATCAAAGCATTATAAATATCTTCTCCTCCACCAATTTTTTGTACATGTTATTTCTGTTATATGTTCAGTAAATTATGAAGGCTTTTTACTATAAGGGATGTCGTTTTTAGATTTCTTTCAAAGTAAAAAAGAATTATTTTATTAAAATAAAAGCTATTTTCTCATAGCAAAAAGCCTTTTGTCATTTGAATTAACTAGTATTAACCAAATTAATAAATCTTTACATGATTAATACTTAGAAGTTAATTTTATTTTTTCTGTAAGTCACATTAAAACTAAAATGTTATAGAACAAAAAACAACCCTTCAGAAATACTTTTCTTTTTACCTTGATATTTTTTGATTGCCTTGTATTAAGTATAATTAACAATTTAATCTTTGTTTCCCATTTTCCATAAAAAAAAAAAAAAATGTTCTATTTCTATATTCTTTTTTTGTCACAAATATCATAATCTCTTTAAAAAAAAAATTATATATTTTTTTCCTTAGTTGGTGGTGCACTGAACCTCAGGCAACATTGGGACCATTATATTGAGGGCACTCAAGTGTTAATTTACATCATTGATTCTTCTAGTTTAGATACAGTTAATGTTGCAAAAGTTGAACTGTGGTCTTTAGTGGAAGCCAACAAATATCTAGAAACCATTCCCTGGCTTATCATTGCCAGTAAGCAGGTAAGAGAATCTTCTATTACCATTGTCCATCACTTGTCTCTCTTTTCAATTACTTTGAAGCCTCTTTTAGATAACATCTGAATCTGTACTCGGAGTTGCCTGAGCATGTCAGGATTTTGCATTATATGAATGATTGTGGAAAAATTGTCTTGTATAAATGACACCTGAATAAAAAATATTCTCAATGATGGCATACAAAATGTTTTCAGAATTTTCCTAGCTCATCAATTTTGTGATATGCACATAGCATATTTGTATTCATGATAAATATTACAGCCATATACAAAAGTATTTAATCACAAGATTTTTTTTTCACATAAATGTACTATTGCTTAGAACATATATACCACATACAATACTAATGTACTATTTACTATAAATATGCATATGTTCTGTACATATTTAATTTCTGAGTACAGATTTGGAATTATCTGCATTGATTTAGCCTCCGAGAAGGATTTTGAAAAGTTCTTGATTTCACCAACTTCATTTTGTAATTCCTTTATGATTGAACTGGTGAGTTTTTATTGCCACCTCCATACTACAGTGTCACTTGTCTGTGTAGCAGACAAAATCTTCTGTTATAGTTGTTGTCCAGCATTATATATTCATTGTTTATTAATTTCAATGCTGTTTTCAAATACTATAAGAGATCTGATCTCATAATGTTGAATGAATGTTATTTGGCAGTCTTGTCTATCTTTTAGTTTAAGCAAAACTTTGTGAACAGAAAGGAAAAATCATGTCCTTATTCTTTCTACTTATCTCTGATGAATGTCCTTTTTAAATATCTAATATATCCATCATTTTATTTTCTTAACCACCATAAACAGTATGTGTTTAACCCCTTCTTATATTTTGTTCAAACATCTTAAACTCTTTGCTTTTGTCTTTTTTTCCCTTGTATTTACTGTCAGGATTTGCCAGGTGCCATGAGCCCTGAGGAACTAAGGGAGTTATTGAATATTCCACAAGTGCCAAAAAAACCTGAAAAAATTGTCATTGGTATGGAACTTCCTGCTAAAGGGCTGAAAAAAGGAATAACAAAAGTGAAGAATTTCTTTACACTCACAGACTTTTAACCACTTCTATTAAAAATGGAATTAAAAAAAAAAAAAGAAATCCAGAGCAAAAATATTTGTTGTGGCTGCCATGATTTGTATCATCCACAAATCACATGTAATGTTGCCCACATATTTCTATTACTTACCCAGGGATATATTTACAATGTTAGCATTTACTTGTTTCTACATTGCATTTGCCAGAATATAAAACACTACCATCTTTTTCAGCCATCCATTCAACTGCAAAGAAATCTATTGAGATCACCTACTACCTAATAAGGATTGGATGTTGGTTGACATATGCTTATATAGTACATTTTACATTAACTGAAAGTCAATTACTTTTTGTCTTAGTATTTTTATTAGTTAGTGAGTGGGTGTCATCTTTTACTTTCTTTAAATTAACACACTTCTTCACAGTTTGAAAAGTTGTAGAAGCATAAATTATTTGGATAGCTATTGATAAGTACTTAACCATTATCAAAAGATCCAATAAATATTGTACTTTTGGCATGATATCTTAACATGCCTTCAGCAATTTCCACCCAGAGATTTGCAGTTTAACAAAAACTTTAAAAGGAAAAAAAAATCTTCCTAATCCAAATATTTAAACATTGAGTCAACTAATTTGTCTTTCACTTATCCAAGAACAAAGAAAATACTTTAATTTTCTTAATTTAGGTATCCTCATGGACTTTTTTATGTTTTTATGAAAGGCATTCATCCTCTTTAAAAAAAAAAAAAGTTATAATTTAAAATTTTCCCTTAGTCTTAATTTTGTTTTTCTTGTCAAGAAAATAGTTTGTTGTTTAAAAATAAAAAAATGTAAAATTACTGTTGCAGACTGAGTTGAGGTGGCAGTGGTAGGTCCTCTGTTTGACTCACTTCCCAAAACTGAATTGGATGTGAGATTTTTTTTCTTAGAGACTTCTTGGTCAGACTAAAAACTTTTCAACACCCCCTTGTAAAACATATTTAGACTGTTTTTCATTCAAAGTTTACATTTCTGTCAATAGTTACTTCAATTATGATATGTTTGACATTTAAACTTTGTATTTAAAAACTTTCCAAAAACTGTCAAAGAAAGAAGAGTCAATGAAAAACCATTAATTCAATAATTGATTAACAATTATGAAAAAATATTCCTGCACTTTGTTTATAATACAATGAAGAATAATTTTTTGGGTAACGAGACATTTTTTTTTTTTTTTTTTTTTTTTTTGTACCAGTTGGCTGATAATTTTTGGAATTTTACAAGAGCAGATGACATTTCCTCATTATAGTATGGCTTCCCAAATGAGCATGAAATTAGGAATATCTCTTATCAAATGTTTCTAGTTTTTCTTTCTGATAGTTTAATGTTTACGAAAATTTTTTAATGTATCTTTTCTCTGAACATAACACAATATTTTCAGATTTAAAACTGTGTATTTAAGAATTGCTTGTAGAGAACCCACATTTGAAGATCTTGAATGTTTTGTCACATTTGCTTAAAGTTGTTGAATGGCTGGTTTTAACCATGTGTTTTACACTCTGAAATGTTGTGATAAACAATTGGGTATTGGTTAACATAATCAGATCTTCCATACTTTCTTGTAATTTAAAAAAAAAAAAAAAAAAAATTTATATTGAAATGATTAATACCGGAAGAAATTCTCTGCTCGATACACTGGTTTAGGTTTTGTGCATATTTCAAAGTTCTGTATAGCACCAGAATGCCTTGCATCACTACAAGTAAAAATGGCTAGCTATAATTGATGTCTACAAGAGAAAGATTTTTAAAAGTTGTAGGGCTACTCTGGGGATCACATACATTTAGACAGATTAACTAAACTGATGTGGATGAAAAGACAATTCCTCCCTCCCTGTCCATTTTTAATGCCATATTGTATAAAAAAAAAAACCCATAATTTTTCTAACTATAAAATTTGAAAATTAGTTACAATATTGCTATTTTAAAAATAGTTTTTTCAAATAAAATTTGTTACAAAATATGACCCCAAAGCATTATTGATGTTATTGTTTATTGCGAATGAGTTTTGCTAACTTATTTGATTGATTCAAAAACAAAATGTAACACTGGATCTATCGAGCACAATGTTGGTGGGTTTACTTTTTCTATGTGATCACTCATCACTTGAGATTTCTTTTGTGATAATTTTTTCAATAGACATTTATTCATGGAAAATATACTGACAAATAAACAAACCACACATGATACTTAAACCTTTGACTGCTCTTAAACATTTTTTGTGAAACCATTTTAATTATTGATGCATCTGCTTGAGTCATTTTCAATTCATGTTAGGGATTGTTATTGATTCAGTGCTGTCTGAGATAAATTTGATATTTAATTACATCAATACTAAACAGATGTATTTTGAAAAATTAGTTCAGTTTGAAAGAATTTCATTTTGTAAAACTTCTGTCTTCCTATAAGGTTTCTTTTCTGAGTACCAGACCAACAGAGATGTTTTAAATGTTCCATCATTTTTCATTAATGGATTTTCAGATACAAGTAAAAACTTAATTTTTCAAAGCCAAATAAAGATTGAGGATTTACTAATCAAAATATTTTTTTTTTTTTTTTTTTAAAATTTAGGGTTTAAAAAAAACACAAACCTAAAATTAAGTTTGGTTACATATCAACATATTAAGTTTAGCAAATTTACCTTTGTAAGCAGTTAATTGCCTATTTAAAAGGTATTTGAAAATTTTAGCTTGCAAATGACATTTTAACTTTTATCTGATATGGATTTCTTGATATCTCCTACTAATAACAATGTCTACATGTTTGTTTGTTTTTGTTTTGTTTTTTTTTGTTGTTTGTTTTTTTTTTTTTTTTTTTTTTTACCCCTCATGAAATACATTCAGAATTTCATCAAACTGGAAACATTTAATCCTGTAGTTTTTGTCAACATTTAATCCTATACTTTATTTCTGTAACTTTTTTCTACTTGAAAAATGTATTTTTCAAGAGATTGGTATGATTTTGGACCACTATCTTATCTCCAAATATGTTGATGTGTGTGTGTATTTTCTCTGTTCTCCATTAAAAATTAAGCAAAGGGTTTAATGTAACAATTTAAAAATGAAATAATTTCTTCAAACTTTTGGAAAACTAACTCTTGCTTTGATTATACATTTTGTGGTGCCTAAAAGTTGTGTGTATGTATAAATCTGGAAAAGCTCTACAATGAATATGGAGATGAGGTGTTTTTAATCCTTTTAAAGATATTTCTAACTTTGAGTTTGAAATTAATTGCCTAACAGATGGCAGATTCCTTTTGAATTCTATTGTTATGGCCAAGGAAAACTCCTCAAATGTGTCCTTGAATATATTTTATGATAACTTGGTCATGGAAATTAATCAATAAAAGAAATAGCATGAATAAAGTAAAACTCATATCTACATAGATATTAGAAACTATTTATCAGCAGCAGCCAACATAGTTGCTGTAGTAATATGATGCAAGTCTGAATTTTGTTCAAATGGTTTCTTTGGTCTGAACTCTTAAAATGTGTGTGTATATAGTTTTAATTTTATTGATTTCATCTTACATAAAATGTTTGCCTATTTGATCTTTCAATTGAACATAAGAGTTTGTGTGTGTGTCTGTGTGTGCAAAAATAGTTCCTTTTGGCAGATAACAATGTATATTTGGGAAAGGTTACAATATTTGTCAGACATAAATGGCTTTTTCTGGAACCATTTATGTAAGAGGTGATGGTTCTTATGATCTCTACTTAACATTGAAGTCTTGTAAACTTCTGTCGATGTTAAGCCTAAACTATAAGAAAAATCTATAAGACACTGTTCTATTTTTTTTTTTTTTTTTGTTTTTCAACATTTTTCAGTGTTGTGTGTAATGAGTGTTTTCAACTGACTTTTACATGTCATTTATATGTTGCAGTCTATTTTTTGTAAAAGAAAATCTTTATTTTTACAGTTATGTGTATTTTTTCCTTATAGATTTGTGTAAAATCTGATGGTTATGTTTTTTTTGTACCATATATAACCTGCTTGTTGTGCTTAACATTTTGTTATATTTATTAAATATTTTGTGATATTTATTTATACAGTGTTCTTTTTTATTTCTTTTCTTTTTTTTTCTGTAAACAAAGGTTTTGGTTGTTTTAATCCTTCTGATTTGGTTCTTCCACATATTTGTCACATTTACTTGTCTCTTATTTCTTTTTCTTTTTTCTGACATCTTGTGTTTTAAGATTTCATGGTGATGCCAGAAAATTTTTTTTTTTTTTTTTTTTTTTTTTTTCCTGGATATTGCTAAATCCTGCTAATGCATTTTTTTATTTTATTTATTTATTGTCACTGTGTGGCTCATTCAAATTATCCTTCATTTTTGCAGCTAGGATGATATTGTACTGTTTCTTCTTTCAAAACATTTTTTATTAATTTATAATGTTGGGTGTGGGGGCTGGATTATTCTTTTCTCTACATTTTTTTGTTGGTGGTATGTTGCTAATTGAATTTTTTTTCAATACAGATTGAAATTTCCTTATGTTAATTTCATAAAAATGTTTTTCCATCTGTTATTTTTTTTATTTTAAATCTTGAACCAGCCAGTATCTATGGTAATGGTTTGACATTAAAGTTTACATTTTCACAAGTTTGTGTTATTATTACTATTAATAGTAGTCGACTTTGAAATTAATTTGAGTTTGACATTTTTCTTGATAGAATTGATTTAGTTTTTTCCAATTATTTTATTCTTCTGCTTTTTTTTTTTTTTTTTTTTTTAATATACGTTCAAATTTTCATGTTTTCTTGGATGGTATTGGTATTATTTTATATGAATACTACCATCCTGTCTACTCTGAAAACAGACAAAAAAATCCGTATTAAAACATGAATTTGAGCATTTTAAAGTAATGGCTTTCATTTATAAGCTGTTGTTTTTATCATTCAAGCCCATATAAAAAAGAAATGCTGCCTTATCACAAAATATAGATTTGTTTAATAACTACAAGTTGTTATGAAATAGGGCTAAGCTACA